AACCGAGTCGATTTAAATAAATGTGCTATTTGTCGTGAATTACTAATACTTTCAACGCAAAAAGCCGAGAACAAAAATATTATTTGCACTCCAAATTTTGATAATAACTATTTTGAACAAAACACATTCTTAGCAAGTAAACCTTATTTGTATGTTACTAACAAGAAAATAGTTACAGCAAAAGTCCTTGAAATTTCGGGAAATGCGAATTTGAAGACATTGTAAATACAATTTTTATGTTGTGGACAACACCGAATTTTCCATTTTATCGCCTTTCATAAACAAAATCATGGTCTTTGGAAGTAAAAAAAACAAACAAAATTGGGATACAACATATTACGATAATTCTTAGAAAATAAGAAATAATACAAAGCAACAAAGATGTTTACAAATTCATGGAGAGGTTTATTATTAAATCAGAATTGGACTATTTATGTAATATAATTATTGTAAAACCTCCTAAAAAGACTATAAAAAACAGTAAAAGTATACAAAAAGACAATTAAAACTCTGGATTACAACAGTAAAAAATTTTTGATGACGTTGAATGTGAAGATGAAGAATTTTTCTAAAAAAATTTTAGATGAAAATTTTTAAAAGTATTTGTCATAAACAATTTTTGTTTTTATTTAATGTTCAACACTTTGGATTTATGTTTTTTCGTTTTGTATGAAAAAAATAAAAAAGAGAAAAACCCCTTTTAACTCATTTGTAGTTTTTTTGTGATTTTAGTAAAATTGTTATTAAAATGATAACAAAAATGCCTAAGATATTCAAATAATTGTTATTTCAAATTATTTCTATTCACAATGAAAAACAATTTGCTAAGACAAAGAACTTTTGTGAAAAGCGTTTTGTCGCCACTTAAACATTTTATCAACTTGATTCACACAAATTTAAAAAGCGTTGTTAATAAATAAAAAAATGTACAAACTCTTACGATAAGAGAGAATGGTTTTTTTTAACATAACCAACTTTGATAACTGTGGCCCAAATTTTACTATTTCATCATAATATTCAACGTTAAATATATTACTTTATTTGATATTGACTTAAAAATTACTAATAACAACACAAACTGTTGTTGTTTTTACTTACAGTTTTTTATAATTAACGGAGTCTTCTTCTTCATCAAGGAATTGACCAGATGTTATAGTTTTGAATTTTGGAGATCATTTTAATTAAAAGGTTGTACAGGGAGTGAAAGTGGACCTGTAAAAATGAAAGTGAAATGTAAAAACAAGGGTTTCAAAAAAAATTAATTTTGATTGGTCAATTACTAAAACCCTTTCTTTTTGTTTTTCAAAAAATAGCCGAAAAAAGGAGAAAAATGACATTATTTCGAGAGTTTGACCAAATTTGTAATAAATATTTAACTTTTTATAGTTTTTTAATTAATAATTATATTAAAATCACACTTTCGAAATATTATAAAAAGCTAATAATTAATTAAACCAAACAAAGGAAAAAAAGAGTAAAATTAACACGAAACTGAGCTAGCTCCATGTCCAATGCTGTCTACACAAAGATACAATTGAATACAATCAACAAGCCCTCGAGACAAATACACTTGTAAGCCTCTTGTAACTGACCAATCAAAAAGGTTTATTAACTTCGGTTCGAAAACTTGCTGAATTGTGAGGAGAAGAAATCAAAAATGCTTTATTGTCTTAGCTTAATTATTGGCACATTTTAGAGTAATCAAATTAAACACACTAAACAAAGTACATCATTTTGAAATATAAATGATAAAACAAATAACCTATAGGTCAGTAATTAATTTTCAGAGAAACATAAACAACAAACTTATATGTTTTCTCAAGTGAATTGTTGATTTGTCAATTTGGAATTACAAATATGGAAACACCTATACTCTCAAAGTTGTGTAAAAAACGCGATATTAGAGGTCGGTGGACCAAAGTGCCTTACAATAGGTAAGGTTTCTTGAAAACACCAGTTCAATTCAATTTAACAGGGTTTGGTACAGGGTTTAAATAACAACATATAATTTTATAATTTAAATAATAAATATAAATAAATTATTTTAAAGTTCATTAATGTGAATCGAACCACTTATTTGTTCCCTTAACAAAGAAGTATTGAAAAATAATATTTATTTTATAACAATTTTAATTTATTATTTCAATTATAGTCACCCGCTAAAAGCAATAAAAACACGACAAATGGTCTAAAGAAATTATAATTTATTATTTCTACTATAACAATAAAAAACAGTAATAATTACACAAATAACATTAAAAAAGTAAAAACAAAAAAATCACACTGTTTCAATTTTTGTTAAACTTTTTAATTGGTTTAAAAAACAACGGCAATCTTTAAACGGGGTTTCCTTATCTTCTTTTGTTCCTTCTATGGTCTTTTTTCCCTTTCTTTTTAATTCAATTTGGAAAAAAGTAATGCAATCGTTATTTTCTTTTGAGGCAACGGAAATCGTTTCAGAATAAATTGTTTAACCAAATTATTCCGAAACACTCTGTATTAGGGTGTTTCTATAACTTTACAATGTTCAATAAATACACAACACTTTGGGGTGTCTTGTCAATCCAGTTGACTATCACAGTATGTTTAAAAGCAATAATATTAAAGGAGGTGTTGTAACCACAAAAAATCCACCAATATCATCAACACTTTAAGTCTGTTTCTGAATTCAATATTGTGAAAATGGTTTTTTCTTTCCAAAACAAATTACCATCCATATCCTTCTTCTTGACTTCTTTTTGAAAAAGCAAATTAAAAAAAGACATTATTCTTTTAAGCCTACCAAATATCCCCAAATCAAGAAGTTAAAGAAAACGAAAAACAAATGGAGTTAAGCTAACAAAGGTTGTGTTATTTTCAGTGAGCAACACTATGAACCTGATACATCCAAAGAATTGGAAGAATTGTCGAAAACCATCACAGTTGCAGGTTTGGCCTTTTTGGTATTGTTCAAATAAATGCACATGTACGGCATTATCCATTAAAATTGTTTTTCAGTTCACCTTTAATCTATTTTTGACAATGTATTATAATTTAGTAAAATTTTAGTTTTTTTGAAATACTTTCATTATAAAAAAATAAATGTCAAATTGAAACACAATCTAAAAACATAATTTTAAAAAAACTATAATATGGTTTCTTTAAACCATTTGTCGGAAATTTATACCTTTTAGCGGGTGACTATAGTCCAAAATTGTTGAATGACTATTTTCAATCTGATAAAAACAAGATTTTGTTAATTAAATTAACTATTCATCGAACGTTTCTTCTCTAATAAAGAAATTCAGAAACAAAAGACGTGAGTTTCTTTAGTTGCAAATAGACTTTTCTCCCGGAGTTTCAGTCTTGATACCTCACTTGGTGAGATGTTGTAAACGTTTTTTAAAACAGTGTAGTCGATAACATGTGCTCTCCCGCCATTGTCTTTGTTGAATTCTGCCACTTTTGTTGTTATGAAATGAACCTGTAATTGCCTGGACTCCGACGCATAACCAATTTATTAGTTGCAAGTATTTTATAGAAGAATTGTTTGACTTTTGCCTTTACATCTTCGTCGTATTTTGTTTCCAAATATAAACGAGAAATGAATTGTTTTGGAGTAAGAATAGATTCATCAAGGTTCTCGGACAAATATTTTTTATTGACCACTAATTAATGACGTTCCTTCTCAGTAGGGAACGTCTTTTCTTCTTCATAATAAAAGAAGGAACTTCCACATTCAGTCTTTTCTTCACTCTTTGTACCGTCGATAACTGTAGGTGATGCTTTGATATAATCATCCAGTGAAATATTTTCAAGAATGCACTCCTGCCTCCATTCAAAATTAACTCTGAAAAAATGAGGGACTGTTTCTGAAGAAACCACGTGATTTTTTTGCTAGGTTTTTTCATTTTTTCTGTTTTTTAGATCGATTATTATTAAGTTGAAAATGGTTGATTTTGGTTTTCTTAAAAATATCAATTCAAATCATTCCACAATTCTTTTGTCATTTTAGAAATTTGTGAAAAAAAGCCGTTTTTGGTGTAAAAAATGCTATTATTATCGACCAAACTTTAGTTTTTGCATTTCACTTTCATTTTTACAGGTCCACTTTCACTCCCTGTACCACTCTGACAACATGTATTTAAATTATTGTATTAATATTCTTAATTTATAAATAAAATAAAAGTAATTCAATTAAAAAGATCACTCATGATAAATGATTGTGTTAAGGGGAAAACAATTATCGTCAATTGATGTTATACTTGATGGTAGTGTAACACTACACAACTTATCACATCTACTGAAACATTCTTCACTAATTGATATAACACTGGATGGAATTGTAACACTTGTTAAATTGCTGCATCCACAGAAACATTTATAACCAATTGATGTCACACTAAATGGTATTAATATACTGCTTAAACCGTAACATTCATAGAAAGACCTTTTACCAATCGATGTCACGTT